TCAATGGGGAGCTCCTCGATAGTAGGTGAATTTATATGTATTTTAATTACTTCCCCCATTGACAAACCCGCAGAACAAGATGAATGCATGCCCAACAGAAGACTGTCCTTTCTCCAGGCCGTGGCGCACCCATTGCGATCTCGTTCGCCCTGAAAATCTTTCCCTTCGCTTTCCCACCCGCACGGTTGTTCTCGAGAGGTCTGGTTTCGTTCCAGACCTCAAGTAGGATCGAATCAATCAAACCTTGACTCGCTCAGAGGGTCCTGCGATTCCTGCATGTTGGCCGGGGTTAGCTCCTGGCGAGGTGCTCCCCCCCCCCCCCCGGCTGACAAGGAATGCCCCGGCTCCCTCAAGAACGTGAGCAGAGCCTCAGCTTCCAGTATGAACTCAACTTGCCGTCACATGCCGGCTTGATTCTAGAGGGCGGAATGCGGCCCGATGGACCGAGAAATTTTCCTCCCATATGTGAACGTTTCCCGTGTGTCAACGCCGCGGCAGGCACTGAAAATGACGGTCCACTATGCCCCGCTCAGCGGCGGAGGGGTATTAGCTCCTGAGGAAATAGGACGGTTTGTTCGAGAATTGGTAGCGGGAGACGCCACTGGCTGGCCAGAAGATCCCCTGAGGAGGTGTGAGTGTGATGGTTAGATGGGTAGAGGCGGCCTTGATGCGGTATGCCTTCACCGGGCTCAATCAACATCGTTGTCAAGCGTCAAGAAGGGACAAACCCGCAGATTTAGTATATTACTCCGTGCATGGGGGCGTCAGTTCGATGCATCATGGGACGGCCGCGGCTCAGCTCACCGCCAGATTTGTGATTGCTGGTAGCGGGCTATGCCACGTTTAGCGAGGCTGTTCCCGAGAAGCGGCCTCTGAATTAGCGTCGATTCGCTGGTGACAAGTGACTCTGCATGAGATGAGCAATCAGCAGACCGAATGTAACGGACGGTGGCATAAAGGTGTCGTCACCTTTCCTCACCGAGCCCTCCTTATCTGCGACGGGACTCAGGATTCTTCCAGGTGCGGGGTCGGTCTGCGCAGTGGCAGAGGTGAGTTCGCAAGCCTCATCGCGGCGAGACATCCGGTTCCGCGCGCATCGGCCGAAAGCGCGAAGCACCAGACCTATTGGTCTTGAAACCGGTGAGACAAAGATGGAAAGCCACCTTCAGAATGCCGGCGTGATGCTTCACTCGCCAGCCTCGTTTCGTACTCTTCCACACCATCGTGTCATGTCGGCAATGCTGCAGTTTGCCTAAACGGTTGCCTTGCCGGGCGCGAGGTGGTTCGCAACTTGAACGGGGTTTGCGACAGCGAGGCGGGTCCCCATTGTGCTTCAAGCATCCCGGGATATTTCGGAAAGTCGTACCTGCCCAATCTTCAGCTTGACCCCACACCAGTCGATTAAGTTCCGTAACATACCGATTTATTTCGCTCGAATAGTCCTAGGTTTTGGTGCGACACCGACACGCAGCAGCGGCTGCACAAACTGAATAAGACAGGGAACGTCGGCGAGAGCATTGTTTCTTTCAGGTATCGTGTGATGAGGCTTATCGGGAAAGTCAGAGGGAATGTGGAATGGATGTTGCTAGAAGATAGCCAAAGAGTGGATTGGGATGCAGCGCTGTCATTGAATTAAGGCGCGGAGACCAAAGTGCACAAACTGATGGGAAGAAACCAGGTGAGAGTGTAGTGGAAGCAGGAGTATCAATATAATGAAACTCTGGAGAAGATTTCCTATCCAGTCGCGGCAGGCAACATCATAGTGCTCAGCTAGATTTAAGCTCCAAAGCACATTGGTGCTGAGGGCGGCCGGATAGCACTGGTCTGAGGTATTGATTTTCAGCAAATCAGGCATTACCCGCAACTCCGAACCTCGGGCCGTGCCCCTGACTACAGTCTTTCTGTGGCCGACTTTCACCATGCTGCATATGTGAACGAAGCTGCTAGGAAGACACGCGCACCGATAAGGACGTCCGACAGATGCCTTAATGCCATGGCGTTGAAAATGGTTCGACATAAACATATTTTGCTTCACAGTTGGGGAAATCCTGAGCCTCCCGAATTACCCCCTTTCGAAGTTACCAGCTATCTTACATTACCGGCTGTACACAAGTCGCCGCTCAAAAAGACCTGCTCCTCTTAGCCAGCCTGTATCACACTTACTGTCAGATATGAGCGTAACTACTAGGGTCAAGAAGCAATTGGGTTCCCCCGCTTTTTGGCGCAGTGGGTAGTTTCTGACATGAGTAACGGTGAGCCGAGCCTGAGCTTGGGTGAGCCGTGTCACATGGGCAACTTACGGGAAAGGAAATTTCATTTGCCCAAATTCGTCGCATATAACACCTATTCGGCCGTGGCCGGCAGCTCATGAGGCCAATTCTAGAAGAGGGCCAAGAATCGGACTCAGTCGCAAGTAGCTCTCGCAGTTCAGTTGTCAGCACCAGCTCACGAGTTTCGTACGACCCTGAGGACAGCACCTTGTTGGCTTCTAAGGAGATTATTGCGGAGCACTTCAAAAACATTCAGGCCCAAAAGTGCACAGGCTCAGAACAAGTCCCTCTCGATCGATACTCAAAGTGCCTTCGTGACTTTGCCGAAGAAATCACGCGCCACAGGGCAAACCCGCAAACCAGCAAACCAGCAAACGAAAAAGTCAAAACACAACTCATCATCTTATACGACGATTTGAGAGTCCAAGTACAAGACATCACAACCCAGTTCAGAACCTCCAGTCCGGACCTAGTCTTCCTCGATACATTGGAACCCGCACTTAGCAACTTCGAGACCCTGTTTGCTGGATACTTTGATGCAGAAACCGCATCAGGTCTCGAAACTGCGTCGTGGGCGAGTTCAAGCTGGCTGGAGGCGGATTTGAGTCTGGCGCCATCGCCTCCGAATCCACCAAAAACCCGCGACCTCTCACCTTCAGACCTATTAGCACTCAAATTGCTATGGGAGACGCCCCTCAAAGGTTTGTCTCATCTCCTCCGTCCTCACTACCTTGGTAGGCAGCTACTCTGAGTCCCTCCGGTGACTGACACCTACCCACCCTACCTAAGAGTTCCAGGTTGCGGATGATCCATACATCTTCTTCACCATCAGTGTCGTATTTGTGGCAGTATGGTTCGAAGCTTCAGAGCCCGAAAGACTTTGGACCCAAGAAAACCCAGAATGGACACATCAGTGTCCGGCCTATCACGGCGAAAGACCACACGTCAGGCTCCGAAAGTTTGTGGTCGTGCGGGTAAGATTAAACCATTCATTGTGCTTTGGCATTACGTTCTTTGAACAAGGAGTGCCGCATCGCTATCGCCACGGACATGGAGGAGACTACGTAGTTCTCTATTCGCACGGTAAGGAGCCTCCCAAGCCTCATGTTAACGAAGATACCGTATGGGACCCGATTTCGCTCGTCACAGAGGAGAGAATCACTGTCTCTCCCACTGCTCGACTTGATTGTGCGCGTATCCATACCCTGGAGGACCGCGTCAAAGTCCGAAAGATCGGGTCGGTTCATCCAAAGAGTCTGCCAGCTCTGGAAGACCGTGACCGTAGGGCTGTTGAATAAATAGGAAGAGAGCATAGAAGAGAAGAAAACAGAGAGAATGTCAAGTTGTACCGTACTACCCGTCCATAGGCACTCTATCCCTATAAGAGCGCGCCACCACTGCTGCGGCAGCCCCTGCCACTACTACTACACCTGCGGCCTCTATTTAGTTAAAGAGTGGGTTATGTGTGGGATACGGTGCAAAAAGGATAGATGGTACGGCACAAGTAGATATTCTCAAAACAAATCGCTTTTATCATTCACTGCATAGTTAACTGTCAATATAGATCCGAGCCATCGGTCTCCCTCCACATCTTCCACGAAGCGACTGTTAATCTGAAACGACTGTCCGATGGCGTCTGTTGTTACCCCATGCACCCAACCTTCTCAACTCTCATCCCCACAGTCCCCTCAGAGAATACCCCCAAGCAACACTGCTCCACCAAACAGCCCCCCAACCACCAAACCCAACACATCACCCCCCGTCATACCCCCCCGAGTTCCCATCGCAGCACCACTCTTTCCCACCCCCGTGTTCACCGCCCCTCCCGAACTCGTCGTCACCGTCGGCCCCGTCGCCAGCTCCGAGCCCTTCTCACTTGTTACCGCTGTCGCCGTCGTAGCCACCTGTTTCGTCGTCCCACCCCCCGTCTTCAAAGCCGGCGCATTAGGACACCCATACGAATTAAACTGCGACGTAAACACATCGTTGAGATTATCCGGAGGGCAGAGACTCGTGTAGCAGTCAAAGACTTTGCTGAGGGTGCTGCATTTGCAAGAGGTGGCGAAGGCTTTGTCAGAGTAAGCTTCGCAGGGAAGGGTTGTGGTTACGGCGGCGGAGACGCAGTTTGTGTAGGGGCTGCAGTTATTAGTTAGATGAGATGGGATTATGAGAGGGGGGGGGGGGGGGGGGGGGGGGGTACTCTTGGTTGCGGCAGAGGGTTTGAGCTATGGTTGTGGTCGAGAGGGCTAGGATAGTGACGAGGGAGAGTGGTAAATACATTTTGACGATGGTGGTGAAGGAGAGAGTGACAGGTGCGCACTTTCAGGATGGAAATGCTCAGGTTTTCAAAGACTCTACGGGAAAGCCCATTATTTATTAAAACAAAAAGTCGAATCTGCAGTGCAGCCCAGCAAGTCTTCTGCTGCATGCCCTCAGGATCGGAATCAGCCTAGTTGGTGTCGATAGTGGCTGAGGCTGAAAGCCAACTCAACTATTCCGCCAATGAGATTTTACCGTAGATTATCTGATCGGTTGTCAAATCGGTGGCTGCAATGCGCCGCCCACTAGGGGCTCGGGGCTGAATGGGCGGTTTGTTTGGGCTCAAATCCGTTCAGGGGTACGACTCAGCCCCAGGAACTTCCAAGATGCCTGCACATTCTGTGAGGTACCCACTCACTGTGGGCCATGAAGTGAGACATTTTCGAGTCCAGAACCCAATAGCGTCTCAAAGCGCCAATGATCTAGTGGTTAGGATTTAACCCTTCCAAGGTTAGGGGGGGGAGGGGTTCGATTCCCTCTTGGCGCACTTTCTGCAAACTACAAACGAGCTCATCCCGTCCCTTCTTCAAGTGAGTTCCGGGTCGGTCGTCATTCTCAATGTTAGTGAAAGCCACTTGTGATTGAGAGGAGAGCGTAGATTTGTGTGTGTAAAGGGTCGGGTGCAATGCAAGAATTCTAGCCCCTGAACTTGGAGCCCCTCAAATCTGATATGGAGCCTGGATCACTGGAATCTTGTTGTCTCTGCCTCTAAAACTGCCATTATGCACGTTGCCATTTTCATTCCATGTTGCCCTTCCCTAGGTTAACATGCGCCGCTCACAGCAACACAGCCAAGCCACCAACAATGCCAACCACAGCTCCTCCAACCATCGGAAAAGCCATACCCGCGGCGCCCGCCTTCGCTGTTGCAAGCACTGCTCCAGTGCCCGTGTTTGTGGGTACGGACCCCCCGCTAGTGCCGCCCCCCGGTGTTGCAGTGGCGGTTGCCTCTGTGTTCCCGGGCCCCAAGCCAGAACCACCCGTTAGGATCGCCGGGCAGTCGGTCCTTCTCTCCGCAGGGTCGGCGGCTAGGTATGATGAGGCAACGTCGGTGGGACAGACCAGAGCCAAGCAAGTCCTAGGTTGGTTGCATTGGTGTCAAATGACTGCTGGGTGCGGAAGGAACAAGGGGAAAAGGAAGAAAAGAAGAAAGTAAACATACGACATGAAGCTGGTACCCCAGTCGCAGGCGCAATAGGTAAAGCTCGATCTTGCGTTGCACGTCTTGGTAACCTCGGCCCTTAACGAGGTAGAGCACTCGTCAAGGCTCCTGTGAAGCTCATCAAAACTCTGCACTTAGGTTCAAGGACAAAGAGCTCACATACGCCCACAGCGCGCTGGATTCTGACGCGCTGCACTTGGAGTAGAACTTGAAGTCGTCATAGCCTGCCGCAACCAGCGAGGCTTGGAGGCCGGCGAGGCCAAAGATGAAGGATGCTTTCATTCTGAAAGTTGGGGTGCGCAACAGGGCGGTCGTGCGGCAACCAAATGCGTTGACGGTGCTTCGGCGTCTTCATTTATAGCAGAAATCCTCTCGATTATTCAGATACCCACGGTCTCGGGATATTCTGGATCTGGCATATCTGCACACGCTAACCTCAGCCTTCAAATTCCGCTTCGTTGTTCGGATATGCGGGGCTTCGGGATATTTCTTGATCTGGCCAAGTCCACTCACGCCACCCAGCCTCAGCCGCGGCGGTGGGGCGCTGTCCCAGATGGCGGGATTTCAGCAACATTTGTGTCTCTTCATTGGCTCCGATTTCAATGCCAAGCTGAACTATCATCCTTCGCTTCCATCCAGACTCGCTTGCTCTATCTGGAAACCATGTCTTGAGTTCAGCCCCTTCAGCGATTGCCCAATCACTGCTCCTCTCTGCCACCTCACCAGATCAGTGAAATTGCGCTGACCGTGCACTCAATAAGGCATTCTTGAACAACAAATTAGGGCAACAGTGCGAGAACTGTCTGGGAGCTCTCCTGTCGATTGCTGTCGGAAACACTGAACCTTGGAATGGGTGGAAATGAAGTGGATTGCAATGGCTCAGTTGTATTGCGTCTGGAAAGGTTGTTCTTTTTCTTCTGGAGGTTCTGGCTCAATGCCAGGTGGGAGACACTGTGTGATCATCGTAATCACTTGGTGTAACGAATAAGTACAGTAAGACAGGAAACTGCTTATCCTACTCACCCCCCAGGAACAGTAAACACGATAAACAGGGTATAAACTACTTTATCCGCCCCTAAGTGTAGATAGTAATCAGTGCGACTGTTTATAAGGAATCCTTCTCGTTCCTCATGTAAGTATTCGCTTCGTTAATGAAGCTAACTTTAACTGTATCCTACTATATAAGTCACCCCATGTGCTACTGTGCACTATAGTGACATACGACTATTAACCCAGTGAACCTCCCGTCTGTAAGGACTTGCTTCTGTATCGCTCTTCTCACCTAACTAACCACCCCCACGACCCTGCCGACCGACCTGTCGACAGGCACCGGTCGTAACAAGTCCTCTTCGGGGATGTGGGTGATGCTTGCTCGTATCATCCCTCCGATCTGTCTGACGTACACTGTCTTAGCCGGGCTGAGACATTTAACATCGGGTCTTATTACCTAAATACAATTTAGCAAAGTTAAAGACCGTATTAAATTGCTAACTAGTTTGTGTTTGCAAGCATGCTTCGCTTCATTAGTATATCTAGAAAAGATACCTCCCTACCTACACAAGCGTGAAGCTCCTTCTTTCTTCCGTTGCAATTATACTGTCAAGTCACTCCCTACCCCAGCCAACAATTTTACCCAAATATCCTACTCTGGCAAATGCCCCATCTAACTCCGTAGAATCCGCTATGACTATAAAGTGAGCACGCAGGTTACACTGCGCCACGAGAAGAAAGAACCTCGGCCCTCTCCGCTTACTTCGGCCACTGACGCGTATTCCTTTACTTCCTGGTCGCGGGATCCGACACGCACTGCAGTTAGGATGCCCGTCCAGGACCAGGATTGGCCCACACCACGGTATGGAGAAGGCTTCGAGGAGGGCCACCATAGTGGGTCCCTGAGAAAAAACGGGAGCCAGAGGCTAGCCATAAAGCACCAGCCAGTTTTGCACTGGATTGCAGAGGCCAGACCCATAATTGCAGCGAGTCTACCGGACCCGTAGGTAATTAAGCAACTCGAATAGGCCAACAACCAGGATCTCCATTCATCATTTATTCTCCAGGCACTCTCGGTAGACGTGTTATTGCTGTTGTTGTTGCTCTCTAAACACAGTACCTCCTGGAAGAATCCGCGGCGTGCGGGAATAAGCCAGCCAGAAAACAGTCCGCAATCCCAGACCATTTCTGACCGCTTGACTCGAATTATTACCTGGAAGCTATCCTTACAGATTACACATCATCTGCTTTCCATCAATAAGGGAAGTTTAACTAGAGGGACTAAAGAGGGGCCTCTAAGGCTGTGCGGTAGTGGTGCATTGGATCACCCCAGCTCAGGATTGCGAACACAAAGGAAATTTCGTCTGCCCAGATTCGTCGTAATTATTAAACCAGGCTGTTTCCCGTAGGTAGGCCATGATGTTAGGCACTGTAAACCGAGAAGGGTCGCTCTGTGGAGAGGGACATTCGATCGCCTGGAAGAGTTTCTTGAAAGCCTCGATTGAGGTGGGCGGCTCCACCCCTCGGGTCTTGTGTGAGAAGTCGGAGACCAGTTGTCGGGCGAGCTCTCCTACGACGGTCGGATGGAGATAGTTGTTGGTCACCAAGGCTTTCAAGAGGAATAGCATAGTGTACGGAAGCGAACCGAGTTGGTTGACACGCCCAAGCTCTGTCTCGAGCGCATCCACGCACTCGAGATCTGGTTTGAACGTCGAGCCAGAGCTTCCGGCAATTTCGTGGCCGATGGTGGATCGCGTGACATGGAGGAGACCCTCTTCCAAAAGCTTTTGGATGTCAGAAAAGAAACAGCCTCGACCACGGCCCCCAATAGTCATCCCGGGTACCAACATGTAGTACACTAGGCAGTATTTGGAGATTCGACTACGCGCATCGTCAATGCCAGCAACCCGATCTTTCGGAGGGGGGCCGCCGCGCTTAGACTGAAAGGTCAACAACGCCTGCAACAGCGAAGCCATACTCTGGTCAGGCGGGCGTAGAAAAACCGGAGGCTCTGTCAAAATCAGCGATGTGTCCACAGCTGACCTCCTGGGGGGCGAGGGCGACAGGACGCTGCTCCGACCTGGGCACATGGGGTTCCGACTCTCGCTTCTCAGTTTCGTAACGGATGCCCCGCAGTTCGAAATCGCTGGGTTCCTTGTGGCTGGGATGGCAGGCAGGGGGCATCCCCATCAACATGAGCCTTTCCGAGGACGGAAGCGGCGGAGCAAAATATATGCCACCAGACTCCGGTTTCCCGAATTTTCGAGAAGGCGAGGGCGTCAAGACTCCGTGCTGGTCGAGAAATTTGCTGCCGTGGCTTGCGTCGAGGAAAACGATGTGGCCTGTCGTCTTGCTCTTGTGAACTGAGCGGCTGTAGCCGGCAATGGAAAGCTTTTTCATGTAGGGATCGAGCTCATTGCGCAGGCTCGTATTGTTGAATCCCGGAGGAAGTCCTTGGAGAAATCCCTCCATCGTGGCTCGTTTGCGCGGCAAGAGGTTGTTGACTGGGTGGGTCGGCAGGCCATTCGTTCTTGCCGTCGTCAAACATCAAACATATAACACCCCGCGCCAGAATCTTGAGCCTGCCGAAAGGCAAGAGATTCTCAATTAGGAACTTGACGCAGCTTCATCAAGGTAAATATCCCGGAAGTCGTAGAATTGGGCGATGGGGGGATTTTGTGGTCCTCGTCGATGGTCAGGATTCCCCAGCAGCGCTGCGCAAGGAATTCCCCGAAATGCAATTCACCTTCTGTAAGACACTGCCTCTTGTGCAGACAAGGAAATCGTATGGGCGCCTAGCACGCTGGTGGTATACCTCCCTCAATGGAATACGAACGAGGTCAGCTCTTATTGGCTTTGAGAATGCGGGATTCCTCATGCGGGATGCCTACCACGCACGATATGTTTGCTCCCCGCGAGTGGTGTCTCGAGCAAGCTAGCAGATGCCTTGCAGATTACGCGCTGCTAACGTCGATTCCAACGTGCGACAATCCACCGCCCCAGAATCACCACCTGGTCCATCTCGTGCACCGTCTTCAGATCCACTGTCGCATCATTGACGCCGATGGCCGGACCCCGAAACGGAGGTAAGTCGGGCCGGGCATGTCGGGCCTCTCGCACCATCCCCTTCAGGGCCTAGCCCGGATTCGGACCCCAATTGTAGCGCCCATTAGCCCCTAGCTTACCCCGCCCAGTCCTGCGTCAGTGCTCCTCTTCCCCCTCCTCTGCGCCCCTAAAAACACGTCGTCTGCTCCCGGGAACTCCAACCGCGGCCCCGCCAAGACGGCTGGTGAAGATGATGGGGAGCGGCCGGCTCGAATTGAACTGCCGAAAGC